TATAAGACCTGGATTGGGGGGGTGTAGGCCCAGTAAGGGAGCAGTTGGGTCTTCCTGCTGGACCACTGTTCCAGCTGGTGAATGTAAGAGGTGGGACGGAGGCCAGACCAGGCTGGGCAGGGCTACAACTCCTGTAGACTGGGTTAGGGGGTGAGCCAGGATGGGCTAACTGTATTCCTTGGTAGAAGCATGAGTCAGAGTAAAAGCAGGCAGGTTGGAATTGGCTGCAGTTTACCTGGCAAATGCTGGGACTAGGGGCAAGTCCTGTTGAGCTAGATTGTAGAACCACATGGAGAGTTGAGAGAGTCAGGGAAGGGAGTGGTCCAGTAGGGAAACTGTGGATACCTCTGTGTTGAATGGCAACTCTCACTGGTGAGAATGAAAACAGGACTGGGGGTGGGCTAGCTACACAGGTGGTAGCATCCAAGGGCATGAGTGTGAGCTGGAAGGTGGAGTCTGTTGGGATGAGTTAGGCTTCAAAGATGTGTGTGAGATCTGAATGGGATGTGGGACAGACCAGACCTGTGCACTGCAAATGCTTTCAGGTACAGGAACCAGGGCTATGGACAGACCCTGTGAGGGTTATTCGAGGACACTTGATTGGGCTGCAGTTCCCCCAGTGTACATGAGGGTCGAGTATGTGGTGGGCAGGGTTGGGCTGGGCTATAGCACCCATTGCTTTGTGTAGGGGAAGGAGAGCAGAATATATCGATCAGTTACTCCTGAGGTGGACTAAGTCAGTCAATGGGCCTTGGAAACATGTCCTCATCTCTTGAGTGATGATATCAACAACATCTCAGAACTATCAAAACCACTAAGACAGCTTTATCCAGTGTGTCACAATGCTGGTCCCTAAAAGTTCAAATATCTTAATTATGAGAAAAGAGAAATACAAAAAACATAATACATAAAGGAAGATAGAAAATCAAAATAAAAGCTATGGTAGGAGTGTGTGAATGTATATGTATAATCCATTTATATTTGTATTTAGTATTTTAGCCATATAATTTATATATATGTATTTACATAGAAAGTGTATATTGAATGTATGTAATGAGTTTATTCATTTAATTGTAAACATTCACACACAGAGAATTGTGGGAAGCACATATACATTATTCCAGATAGTAGTGAATAATGAAAGAGGATGGAAAAGAATAATGCAGAAGTTGGAAGAAAATACGTGGCTGTCTTAGCTATTTATAGCACATTGCTTCCTTGAAAATACAGGAAACAAATGTAGCAAGATGTTCCTTTCTTATTATTTTTTTAACCTCTAATCTGAGGTACCTATATGTAAGGCTATTTGAAATATTTTAAACTTATTTCAACAGTCCAGTGGACTCCCAATTTGTTATCTTGGGTTACAACTTTAGATTTCTGGTCATTTTTGTATTTCCCTAGTCACCATTTAAGTTTACATCCCTGCATCCTTGTTTCATTCAGGTTATTTACCCTTTTTTTTCTTCTTTCCTCCATACAATCGTGATCATATTTAACCTATTGCCCTAATATCTACTAGCTGCCATGTCTCCAGATGACCAAAGCGCACACTGTTAGAGGCACCCTGCAGGTTTGAAATCATTGCACACTGTCATTCAATATTTATGTCCATGCATTCAAATTGTCTGGAGTATATACAGTCAAGTAAAGGATTCGACACACACTTCCTGCTTTCCTGGGAGATGGGGCAAAAACTGCAACTTGAGCTTGTGGGTTTAATTGTAAAAGCCACTATGAGAATTATTTTTTCAAATATAAAATGGTGATAATCTCTAACACTCAAGAGTTGTTTCAAGGATTCAAGTAATAAAAGTAAGCCACCAAACAAGTGAGTGACACATTCAGAGTTGTGAAAGGTTAAACACAAGTACAGATTGAGTCAGTAAGAATGGGGAACAATGTATCCTACAAGTTCCCCATTGAATCCTGTGGTCAAAAACAGACCAGCTATCCTAGGTTATACAAGGTTTTTTGTTTGTTTGTTTTTAATCTGCTTTGAGAAAAAAAATGCAAGAATTCTCTTACATTATAAGGGTCCTTTTTTTGTTGTTTGTTTGTATGTTTTTTGAGCTTCCACGAAGTCAGAGGCCTCAGTAACTTCACTTCTAAATTAATTCTGTGTGATGCATAGGACTAGAGTGTATCACCAAATTTATCCAAGATTAAATATCCATTTTTTTTCTGTGAAATATTCTAAGGTGATGACATTTTATTAAAAGATGATTCAATACCTAAACACAATTAGAAAAACTGTCCACTCTACATACCGTGCCTTTTGAAACTAGTTCAGCCGTTGTTGAAGATCGTCATGATGCATGCTCCAAGAAACCACAATCAGATTTTTTTTTAAATGAAACATTGCACTAATATAGAACCAAAGTTAACAGTGCATTCAATGAACGATTTGTGTTGGATTAACTTTTGCCTTTCTGGAATTGAGTGCTTTGATAAACAAACCAAACCAACAATGTGCCTAGATCACTGTTGTACAATGGAAAAATAACTACACTGTAAATGTGAAATTTGCTCATGTTTCAAATTTTAATATACTTTTAATAAAACTGAAGTTTCAGTGCTGCATGCATATTATATTTTTATAATTCAATGTCCCCGTTCATGTCAATATTTATAGACTGCATACCAGAAATTGTAATTAGCTTGATTTCAATATTTACAAGTACTTCAAGCATAAATTCTGGAGTGGAGCTGAAAGGCGTGGCACGCAGTCATGATTAACCCTCTTCATTGTAAGAATTGACAGAAATGCTCATATCACAAATAGTCAGCTTTCCCCTGGCCTCAGTCTGTTTCCAGCAAAAATATCTGTCATGATTATGTCCTTTAAAAACAAAAATGTTTTTGTGTTCTGTGGCAAGTGAATGCTTTTTATAGCCTATAAAGCATGTGAGGAAGAATCTGAAACAGCCTAAAGAGATTTTGTCATAAATAACTACTGATAAAACACTCTTTACATTTAGTATGGATTTACAAAATGTAGTTCACATATTACTGAAAACCAAAATATTTAAATCAAGGATAAACACTAATAAAATACTTACTTTTATTTAAAATATTATAATAAATAGAAAAAATATTTTATTATAAAATGAACTATAAGAAACTATACTATGAAAATGTTTTAAAAGGGGACAGGTTGTGTTTTCCTTTAAAATAACAACCACATTAGTGAGTTGAAAAAAATATTCTGGCTTACATTGACATTTACTGCCTTTTTTGTTTGTTTTTGCTCTCAAAACTTTCTGGATCTAAATATTGGTTCCGTTTTTATTCATTCAGTAAGATGCACAGCTCTTCACTGCAGAGAGCCATGCCATGGACAGATTGAGCAAATGTCACAAAAAATCATGTTAATATGAAGCACTTCAAGTTCAAGTGTATGAAACTGACAGGATGATGTTCGAAATGATCAGTGTCAAAGCGTCAACAAAAGGAGAATAAAAGCATTTTTTATTTTTATCCAAATATATCAGACTTCAGAATTTAGGTTAGTTTCAACAAAAACTTCACCATAGATCATTCAAACCAGGACATGGTAAGAGTGAAAGGGAGTCCTTTTAATAACTACACATGTAGAACAGGTATAATCTGGAATGTTCCTGGGTAAACTGATCAACCTCAAAAACGGGATTAGACTGCAATTACATGCAGAAATCATACCTTTCTCACAGATATGTGAAAAAGATAAAATAATACAATTCACTCAAATTAATTTTGGCAATAGTGGCTGTTTTTCATCAGTCAAGTATCAGTCCAAGTTTATCACCTCCCTAAACCAGCTATCACTTCAAAAATAGCTAGCCAGTATAATAATTTTCCAATGCAATACCCTGTTTTTATTCTCATAATTGATATTTTGTCGATCTAAAATTGTTTTAGCTAATGTTTGTCTATCTCCTTCCCACGGTCCTACAGTATGCAAGTGTTCATGGTGAACAGAGTCTTCCACCCACTTCGTTATATCCCAGTCTCCAGGAATGGAAAGATGCCTCGGACACTGAAGGCATGCAAACATTTTATTAAATGAATGAATACATTCAGAGAGTTTGTGTCTGGTTCCATTTTCTCCTTGGTACCAAAGACAAATTAAACCAACTCTCCAAAGTAAATTATGGCTCTATTTATTTTTTTAAGTATTTGGACTAAATGATCCATGCAGTTCATTCCACTGCTGATAATTAAGTCATGCCCTCTGTACCCCCTTATCTCTTTGCTACTATTTCCTTTCCTACCTGCAGCAAATAAGAAAGTTGGTTGATAAAGGGGTAGGGCAACCACTCTGCTCACAGTGGATAGATGCTCAAGGTTGATCATTTTGCCAGTAACAATTCCCTGGTATATGTTTTGCACCTACAGAATTTGGTTGATACAGAGGTAGCCAGAAGGTATTATTATAGTCAATGATAAAACTGTTGATGTAATAATTGGCCAATAATAAAATCATTAGAGGCTTACTAAAAACTAGGAAAAGGTGGGAGCCCAAATCACCCCTTAACAATTTACATGTTGATGGGAAAGGAATTCATTCTAGGCAAACAAGGCTTGCAATGTCCAAATACATTTTTACAGGAAATCTATGATTTTCTGATAAGAAGCACTTCTAAATAATCATGAAAATCTTTGCACTATGAATTCTTACTTTGGAGGTGTTCTACTGATGAATAATTTTGATTCTCACAAGTGAGTCATAAATATTAGAAGCAAGGGTTCCAAAAACAATACTGATAAAATTATTTGGAAAGGCTAAGGGATCCAAGAAATGAATAAAACCAGTGTTCATTTTTTAAAAAAAATTGCATGTGAGATAATTGCAATTTACTAATTTGAACTTCTGTCAGGTCTGTCCAAACTTTCTTCTTGATCTCTGTGTGACAAGCATGGGATAGCTTGCAAAGGTGAGCAAAAACCCACTGTTTTTTTTACAACAAATTCCATAAACAAGAGAACAGCATAAAAGAGACTCAATTAGACATACATCCTTTAGGCATAGATAATGTTTCATTGCAATGTTGGGTGTCCTTAATGAGTATCAGTTTTTAAAATGGATGTGATTCCCAGAAAAGGAATGAAAAGGTTTCTTATTGACTCAGTTTTAAATGGGGAATAATAATTATATTATTTCATACAGATTCTGATATATTCAATGAAAATTGACTACTGACTGTTATAACGATTCAGCATTTGTTCAAAGCTCAAATTTATAATAGGTCATAGATCAGATTTTAATTAGTCCAGGAAAAGAACAATTTTCAAATTAATCAGCATTTATTACCAGCACTAGCAATTTTTAGAAATCATAAAAATTTTCAATGATATACCAAGTACTGGTATGTTCTAAATTTTACAAGTTAACTATAAACTGGTTATGTTTTTGCAGTGCCATAAGCAGCACAAACTTGCATGACTCTCTCATATATAAAGCACGGTTGAAAACCTTCCAAGACCATAAACAGCAGAAAACACTAAATCAGAGTTTAAAATGACAAATAATTTAAGGCTAAAATATTTGGTATTAATAATTAATGTCAGTAGCCTTTCTAGTCTAATAAAGGAAACATGCACAAGAACTACAACTTTGAACAAAACATCACCATTTTATCTGATATATATGTATGTATGAACGTATGTCTGTATATATATATGTATATGTGTGTATACATGTATATATACATGTATATGTAATTTTATCGCCCTGAAAACTACCCACTCATGTTTGGCTTAATACATATGTTAGAAATGTTGGGGAAGTATCTTCCCATTAAATATATATATATTTTTTCCAAGAATATACAATATAAATATGCCATTTATAAATCATGCCATAAAACTAAATGCAAAATTTGCACATTATTGCATGCTTGATGTGATAATACATGCCTGTTAATGACTCTCTTATGATGTACCTCCTTCATAACTTTTGCTTTCTGTACAGTAGCAATAATTGGGAAGGAGGGATGTTCAAATATGATTACAGGGCTAGGGGACGGTATAATTTTTAGGTTCCTTATGGAGGAATAACCTCATCAGCCAAATATTGGACTATAACTAAATCAAACATTAAATAATGCCTTAAGGGGATCTATTGTTATGTGAAGCGATCAGAGTTCATTTTTCTTAATTTGGCTGGAAGATTCCCTTCCATTCTAGTGGTTCCACCAGCCATCTTTTGAAGCTTTGGTGGCAAATCAGCCACAGACTGGCTCATAGGATCAGACAACATCTTGGTGGTTTTAGACACCAGTTTTTCTTCTGAGTTGCCAGGAACTGAACTTATTCGTTGAAGTTTCATAGGTAAATCTCCCAAACTGTAGGCTTTTTCTGAAGTTGTAGAACTCATTCTCAACAGTTTTTTGGGAAAGTCTTCTCTCCCAGTAATCTTCTGAAGCTTAGATGGAAGTTTTGTAGTAATGTCTTCCAGCCCATCTAAGCAGTCCACTGAATTATGTCTTTCTTTGCTATTGGTTATGGCTGGTGCTATTAAAGGTGATGACATCAGAAGCATTTCCTCCTGCTCTTTCACACTGTAAGGTGGGGTTGGAACTTCAAATGTTGCATGGAACTGGGAGTAGTCAACTTTAAAGAATCCCTCTTCCAAAGAAATTACAGGAAAAAAACGATGACCCCAGAGAACTTCATCTTCTGTGTATGATGTTCGAGCTTGACAAGTCATTCCTATGAGAATAAAAAGAATCATATTGATGAATTACACACAGTGGAAGCACACATAAAGACAATTTGATCATAATTGATTGTGCTGTCTCATTTGTGATTTGATTGTTAATATAATTAGAATGAATAATCAAATAGGTTAAAAGTTTTACTGTGGGTTAAAAGCTTTGATACATATGCTTCAATGAAAGACATAGGATGCTGACCTTCTTCCTGCTTGAATGACAATATATCATCATTATTGTTTATTATCCATAAGCCAAAAAATGACATTGAACTGTTTCAGAACACACAAACCTCTATAGGTACATGATGAGAAATTTATATAATCTTCTTCCATCATTCAAAAAGCAATATTGTGGCTGGGGGAGAAGCAATGTGAGGGCAGAATGATGTCACAGTGAGTAATGTCACTACCGAGACACAAGCATCCCCAAGGCGCAACAATTCATGTTCCGACGGCTTCACTTATCCAGCTTATCCAGCTCTCTGCTGATTTTCCATAGGAAAGCAGCAGAGAATGTTCTAAGTGCTTCTGCTCCTGGAATCCATATGGGAAATCTGGTAGAGGCTCCTACTTCCTGTGTTCAGCCTGGTCCAGCACTGGTCATTGCTGCCATCTGTGGAATGACCAATGCATGGAACTATCTCTCTCGGTTTTTGTTTCTCTGTATTACTTTGCTCTTCTGTAGAACAAAGCATGGAAAATAACAGCTTTCTCATAGGACTGTTGTGAGCATGAAATAAAAACATATACAAGGAAATGCAAAACACATTAATTCATTATAGTATCTAGAAATAATTTGATCTGAATAAGTGAGAGCCTAGTGAGGGCTGGCAAGGGAACTAAAAGGGTCAAAGATGACTTTCTTAAATAAAGGAATGAGATATTTTTACGTTAGATAATGAAAAGTCATTGTGGTGGATTTATGGTTTGGGATCTGTAAGACCAAAATGAACTTTTATTCAAGTTTTAGTGATCCATTACTGAAAACAATACAGGCCATTCTGCCCTACTAATACTAGCACCTCAAACATTTATTATTTACTTCTGGTAAAAATATTCAAAATCTTTTCTTCTACATTTTATCAAGGCACAAAAGCAGGAAAAAGAATACGAAAGGTTGATTTCCAAATGCTACTTTATAGTCAGGAGTAAGATGCTGTGGAGTTCCAATGCATAGGATAGTTCATATAGATAATGATAACATAATTTTTTTATTGAAAACATTACAAAGAACTTTGAATTGTTTTAACTTTGCCATCATAATACCTCTAGCATTTTTTAACCTGAAAAATTTACATCAGACAACACATAACTTAATATATTATGGTTCATATCAGTTACTGAATATCCATAAAATATCCATGTTACAAAAAGTACCCAAAATATTTACACATAAGAATAACAAACCACTTTCTAAAATATTTTACAATTTTTATAGGCATGCAGCATCTTGTATTTTCCAGTTTTTTAGTCTTTGACATAATATTTCATAATTTAAAAAGATAAATTACCACTCAAATAACATTTAAATTGTATTTCATGATATACTGACTCACTTTTATATTGAGAAATGTAATGGGGCTGACTTTGTGGCATACAGGTTACACCTCTACCTTCAATGTCAGCATCACATACAGGCACCGGTTTGAGACACAGATGCTCTAATTCTCATCTAACTACTAAAGCACCTGCAAGAGCAACAGAAGATGGATGGCTGCAATGCTTGGGCCATGCATTCACACGGGAAACCCAAACACTCCTGGCTTTTGGCTTTGGCATGTCCCAACCTTGGCCACTGTGGCCATTACATGAAGGAACCAGCAAACAGAAGATATCTCTCTCTCTCTCCCTCTCTCTCCTTCTTATCTTCATCCTCCATACCTTATAACTGCTTTACAAGAAAATAAAAACTATTTAAGAAAAACTAGATAAAGTATGTGAAATAGCAAATATGTACTTTTCCTATACACTAAGAAAAGGGATAGTGTAATGAAATACCCTTTAATTTCTCCCTGAAAGCTCTATTCTGTAAATTCATGTGGTATATGTAAATTCTCTACATAATTTTCTTGTGCACAGCACTAATTAAATTTCAGACACAAGATCATACCATGTTTAAATTGCTAAGTGATACTACTTCTCTTACAACTCTATTTTAATTTTAAAATCATTTCATGGACAAGTTATTGAGCAGAATTATCTAGAGTAAGGACACATACAATATAATACAGTAATGTGAATTATAGCATATAAGTCCACCCTCTCATCAACATTAAGGCATGTGTGCTTTAGCAACTAGAAGAAAACAAGATGATGATATTTGTTCAAATATTCCTAATAACAAGAACACTGAAATTCAGTTAAGTGACTATCATCGTATTAGCCCATTTCAAATTGGGTAGTCTTTTTTTCCCCCAGAATAATAATCTGAAATAAAAAATGGAATTCCAAGTTACTGATTTTCAGGCCATATCAAGAACTGTTTCCTTAAACTTTACTAGCATCTGTGGTAAAGAAGCAGAGAATCATAAATGGAAAGATAAAATGAGAAAAATAAAATTTTAATTTGAGGGAACTATCAAATGATGATCATAAACATGATCAAAATAACCAGTGCCCAATGACATTTAGAGTGAAAACAGATTTTCAAATGCTTGTTCACATTACCATACCTAAATAACTGCTGCTGCAGTGCAAGTGCATGGCTTTGACTGAAAGAAAAGTAGGGATTTCTTGTGAGGCAACATCTTCTGATAAAGGAAAAGTACACTCACTCGGATGCCAACTCCAATATCTAATAGGCTCGGAAAATTACCTAACGTGCTCTGGGTGCTTTCCATTCTATGTACATAATAATGTCCTCGCTTGTAAAAGTGCTGACAGTTTGCAATTTAAGGGTACAGGATGATCTTGGTATTTTGACAACACCTGATAGTGACTGCGGCACTTGCTGTTACGTAGCATTCACTTATGGTTTCTGTTCTTCCAGAAAATCATTGATACTGTGCTAACATAAGCAAGAGCTGCATCATATTACTAATTTAGTCCATCCCAATAACATGCAAAATTATGTTTTATAGTCTCTGAGTATAATTCTTTTAAAAATCATAAGGCATAGAAAAAGTCACATTACTCATATTCCCAGCTTTTAGAGTTTCTCAACATTTGCCATGCATTTTCTCTAACTGTAGCACAGACTAAATATAGGAAGCTGAAGTAAATTAAATTAAAATGTTTTGGAGCAAGATGAATGATTAATGTAAATTACAATACTGTATTATATTTCACCACAAACATTCAATAAGATTTCAAAATTTGCTTGTTTTGCTATTCTTTTCATATTTTGAATTCTATGTAGGTACACAAATATCAGATATTTCCAACTCATAAACATCATAGCTTTAACATCTGCTTTCTCCTCAGTGTATTATTAATTTGTTGTCAATACTTAGATGATGCTATGGAATCCTCATAAATTATATGACAGAAAAATGTCTGTGATTTCAATTTGTGGTTTATACAAGGAGTTGAGATAAGATGTATTTGAGGGACTCTCATTTTGCAAGTTTCCAAAAATGATGCTTAAAAAATAAAATGCAAATTTTAATTGAGAAGCTTCAAAGTAGATATAATTATGTTGTCTAAGAATATGCATGTATCATAGCATCTTCTCTGTCTAGAATTCTTTATATCACTACTCTAATCCAAAGTATTGTGAAATACCCTTGCTTACATTCAAAACTGAAAATACTATTCAATCCAAATGAGTGCAGGTGAGTACCATTATTGATAGGGTACTATGTAATTGCACGGCTTAGCTAGCAATATGACTGTTTGCATGTTTTAATCAGATTCCAGACTTGAACAAATGCGGTGAAAATCAACACAAGCTCATCTCTGTGGAAACTGGCAAAGCAACAGATGCTGCTACTGGAAATAGCTAGGACTTCTGAATCTTCAGATGAAAAACATTTTGTGAGGAGGGGTTTGTTCCATGCTTGATTCATGGATTTAAAGTGGTAGATATTATTATTTAATGTAATTTATTCCAAAGGCATAATGTCTATTTAAAATAGCAGGGACAATGTAGCTTAACTTATTTAGTATAGAACTTTTTCCTTTTCCTGATTTTGCCTTCATTCAATACTGAAGTGCATCTCTTTAATAAATTAAACATTTATTAAAGGACAGCTTAGGGCCCAGCGTGGTAGCCTAATGGCTAAAGTCTTTGTCTTACATGCACCAGGATCCCATATGGGCACTGGTCCTAATCTCGGCACTCCACTTCCCATCCAGTTCCCTGCTTGTGGATTGGGAAAGCAGTTCAGGATGACCCAAGGAGTTGGAACCCTGCACCTGCATGGGAGACCTGGCTCCTGGCTTGGGATTGGCTCAGCTCCAGCCACTATGGCTGTTTGGGGAATAAATCATTGGATGGAACATCTTCTTTTCATTCTCCCTCCTCTCTGTAAATCTGACTTTCCAATAAAAATGAAACAAACAGCTTTTTTTTTTTTTAAAAAAAGGACAGCTTTGAAAGCTTGCTAAGTGAAAATGACAAAGTGATTCAGTATTTGACAAGCCCTTAATTCAACTTTGAGAATATTCAAAACTCACTAATTTAGGCTGTATATATCGCCACTTGAGATTGGCAACATCGAGCTAAAAACAATATAGTCCCAGGCCAGAAAGGATATCTCAATACTGTGACACAGAAAATATCACAAAATCAATAACTTTTGCATTGCAGAGACTTTATCTAAACCTTGCCTAATGTGAAAGTGTTTTAAAGTGTGGGGGGGGGGGCAGAGGATTGCAGGGACTGACAGAGTTTGAAGGAGAGGAAAAAGAACTCATTCTCTAGAAATGGTGGCAGTTTTATGAAATGTGCATTAAGTAAATACCAAAGCAAGAATTATGAAAAAGGAAAGCTCCCTCAGTTAAGCTGGGTACTACTAACGTCTTTATAGAGCTATGAGTCAAGTTTCTCTGCAAG